GGACTCCTCCCCCTTCCCTTTGTTAGCCGCCACGGACATCGCCGCCACGGACATCGACATCACCGGACTCCTCCCCCTTCCCTTTGTTAGCCGCCACGGACATCGCCGCCACGGACATCGACATCACCGGACTCCTCCCCCTTCCCTTTGTTAGCCGACGGAGCCACTTGGGGAAGGGGGGGAGGAGTCGGGTGACTATGTCTGACGTCACCGGATCGCCAGCGGGACTCCCGGAAGCCAGCGGAGAGGCGAGTGTTTTCATTAGCTATCAAAATAATTTTAATCGATTAAAAAGTTTAACGATTAAAATCGAGAAATTAATCTTTAATTTCCACAGCCCTACTTTTTATTGACGCGTGTTTACGACGTTTCAGGGCTGCATCGGGTCCTTTCATCAGGGCGGGTTTCCTAAAAGGTGACAACAGTATAGAAACTGCCACTCGCCGTCTCCATCGATAGTCGTGTGACAGCACTTTAATCCAGGTAGGGAGACAGGGGCAGAGCGTTGTCACCCCATAACAGTGCCTGGGGATTAACTAAAAGGAAATATGAAAATGACAGCGACATGTTAAAAGGGGAAACTATAGGAGATTTTAGCGATTGGATTTGTATATACTGTACTCTAACCCTCATGTTATAGTCAACCACACATGCTTAGAATTTTGCTCCCAACTTTCGCAGAATTCGATTTCACCATCGTTCCGTCAACTAATTTTGTTCAAAAATGTCATCTGGATTAGCTACTCAAATGGAACCCTAGGTGTATTAAAAATGTATAGTCCACATTTTACAAAAAAAATTTAATAAACACACACACACTTTTTTTCTGCATTGGATCAGTGGATGGTGGGTGCAATGCTCTGCCTCCTGCAGATTCTCCCTCCGGTCCCAGTCTGTACTCCGTGCGGACGTTCACACACCAGGGTTGCATTCACTACTTATCCCATCATACAGAGCCTCTGGGAGTCATGCCTGTAACAATCAGTTTTGCAATGCCTCGTGGGACTTTTAGTTCCACATCAGCTGGAGGGTCAGAGTTGCCCACCCCCGAGTTACAGGGACAGCAAGCGTCAATGGACTACAAGTGCGGTGATGTCACCGCACTCCATTGAGAACTAAAAGTCCCTCTACTGCAGTGGACGATGGGACTTGTAGTCTCTCCACTGACAGACCATGTCAAAGGATCTGTGAATGGATGATGTGGCTGTGTGGGTGGAGCCATGCCAGCAGCCTAGGGGGAGAAGAACCCCGTGATTCAGGCAAGTGGGGGTAAGGGTGACCAATTTTCAGGTTGAACCCCGTATTCGGGTGAAGTAAAGTGATCCTTTAAATGGGAGTCTCGTGCCCAGCTTATGAGCATTACAATATATCAGGGGTAGGCAACCTCGGCACTCCAGCTGTTGTGGAACTACAAGTCCCAGGAGGCATTGCAAGAGACGACAGCCACAGGCATGACAGGATTTGTACTAGCACTGCAGTTGCATGGCAAGTACGAATCCCGTCATGCCTGTGGCTGTCAGTCTCTTGCAATGCCTCCTGGGACTTGTAGTTCCACAACAGCTGGAGTGCCGAGGTTGCCTACCCCTGCAATATATACAAATGTTCCCGAACAACAATCCCCGTTGATTTTCCTCCTCACTGCGGTGCAAAGCGAAAGCCGATTAGACGCCACCAACCATCAGATCATCGAGAGAATGTTCCGAAAGGTTCTGCTGGTGTATGGTCTATGGCAATAGACTCGACTTGTTAAAATGACACGCGTTGCCCTTTAAGAGTCTGCAGAGTTTAAAGTAAA